CATGAGGATAGCGGGAGGGTTAAGGGCTAGTCGCGATATCTGGGGAAGGCTGGCTACTTATCTTTCACCAGAAAAGTTTGTTGTTGATGTAACGTACCAGTGGCCAATCTTTCACCAACAAATTGGCCAGAAGTGAATCTTTCATTTGCAGACACAAAAACATCACCTGTCTGGCCTCCAAATCCAAAACAAAGTTCTGCCCCAGTTCCTGTTGCCGCAAAGAAGCCATAACAAGCAGAAGCCAGACTGCTGCATCCTCCCTCTAAATAAAGTTCAAACTCCTCAAAGTTCCTACGAGACTTTACAACTTACAAGTTGAAATGATCATACAGTATGTGTTGAATGAACAAGACGTTAAATCAAATGTTTGAAAAATCTGTGCTTTAATCAATATCACACACATTATAATAAGATAATTATTATCTTCAGGAACATCATCCAGACCTAAAGATGCTTCAATCTTTCTACTACTTTAGCCTCTAGTTTGGAATCACAGGCAGTCAAACGTCTTCTGGACAGAGACGGGACAGGAACCTCATCTCACTAAATGAGAGGTAACCGCGTCGCTAAACTCACATAAAAACACAAATCTTTTCCAACGTTTTCCAGAAATATGACACCAACGTGGGCTCCCAGGGTTCTCAGCTGTCCCGTGGTCAGAAACAGCGCATAGCCATCGCCAGGGCAATCATCCGTAACCCCAAGATCCTGCTCCTGGATGAGGCCACCTCGGCACTGGACACAGAGAGCGAGAAGGTACGTGGCTCTGGATGACTGGCTTCCTGCCTCGTCTCAGTGCAGCTGCTCGGTGCTCCTCAGGCTCTGGGAGCAAGGAGAGCAGATAGTTAATTACAATCATCATTAGGACCATTATCATTCATCATCTCTGTTATTACCACGAGCTGCTCAGACCCAGCCTACTGGAGAGGCTCTTTAAGATGAATACTTCTGTGAGTATTTTTACCTCCAAGGTTGAAGCAGTGGAGACCTGCACACTGATCCACTGGAACATGCTAATGATAGTAATCAGTGCATGATTGTGAAATTGTTATAATTGGGATTCCTTTGTCTGCTTTGTGGGTGAACCAATGATGGCTCCTGAAGCAGTGTGTGTCAGTGTGAGTGTATGCACCACTTCAAACATATCTGCATATCCATGTGTGTGTGTGTGTGTGTGTGTTTGGATGCAGACAGTGCAAGAAGCCCTGGACAAAGCAAGAGAAGGTCGCACATGCATCGTCATCGCCCACCGGCTGTCCACCATCCAGAACTCGGACATTATCGCCGTCATGTCCCGAGGCTTGTTGATTGAGAAGGGAACCCACGACCAGCTTATGGCTCTGAATGGAGCCTACTACAAGCTGGTCACAACGGGTGCACCCATTAGCTAGCTGCTCATGGACACAACGACCACGTGGACTGAAGATAGCCAGAACTCTGTGTTAGGAGGAGAAAAGATAAAGGGACAGCTGCTCAGTCGTGGAAAATGTGGAGTCATCCTGGTTTTCTGACAGAAAGAGGGTTGCCAGGGCACTTTGAGCTTGTTACTCAGTATTTTCATGAGCTACTTTGGTAAATGACCCCAGCTTACCATAATGCTACTGTAGATTTAGGTTTACTGGTAATGGGTGGTTACTAAAGTATTCTACCTTGAAATAACCTTTTTTCTGAACAACAAAATGCAACAGTAAATACCTCTAAATGTTGCAGGTTGAAGTGCAGAAACATAGCTTAAAAATTATAATTTTATTTGCTTCTCTTTAGTTGGCATATATGATTATTTTAGTTCTCTGGCTAACAGCATCAGCTGTAAGTTTCCCTTTAACTGCTCCTACACTGTAAAAAATATCTCTAAAGCTAATAAATCTAATTTAGATCCTATTGCTAGTTTAAAAAATTTGGTCAAATTTTACAATAAGGGCCCCTTTATTAACATTACATTATAAAGCATTAATAAAGTATCAAATAAAGCATCAAAAACCCTAACCTCCAAGACCCGCAATTGTATTTGGCAGAGGTGTGGACTTGAGTCACATGACTTGGACTCGAGTCAGACTCGAGTTATTACTTTAATGACTTTGGACTTGACTTGATAAAATCTATAAAGACATACGACTTGACTCGGTCTTGAACGCCACTGACTTGCGACTTGAATCGACTTGCATCTGTTGACTTGAGCATATTTGATATTTTTAGCACAAAAGCGACACGACATAAACAAAAATCATAAATCATTCTTGGTTCTGGGTTTGATCTTGTACTGCTAAATGCAGCAGCACTTTGTTTATAATCAGTTTCAGTTGCACTTTCTGCTTGTTTGAGCAAATAAATTAAGCTTTAGTCCTGGAATTTATTTATTATCATTGTCATTAAATTGAAGTTGGACAAATGACTTGATTATGACTTGAAAATTCAAAGTTGGGACTTGGACTTGACTTGGACTTCCACATCATTGACTTTGGACTCGACTTGGACTTGGTGGTCTTTTACTTGAACATGACTGCAAAGACTTGTGACTAACTTGTGACTAACTTGTGACTTGTAAAGCAGTGAATTGGTCACACCTCTGGTGTTTGGTGTGATTTAGAAGGAAAAGCATTTTCACTTGAGTTGTATCGATGTTACAGTTGAATATAAATTTATGCTAACTGGGAGAAAAAAATCAGTACATATGTTAATATTTTAATCTTTGCTATATATTATTTTGGATGTTGTTAAAATAAACGTTTTTTTTCCTGCCAAAGGAATGTTTTAGCAAATGAAACAGTAATCGTGCATTATTTTTGGTACATATGCACACCTGCTGCGCATTGTAAAGCTTTGAATATAGAAAATAAAATTAGCACTAGCTAGCACTAGCTAGCTAGTGCTAAAACCACTTTCATAATAAAATGTGAGCAAATACCTGTAGATGTGTGCTTCACTGTCAACTGTATGATTAAACTCTGCAGCAAGGAGAGCATTTTTACTTTCTAAGCAAAATTATTTGACTAAAGAAAACATTTAAGGCGGAATTGCCTGAACTGCTGACAGACGTTTGGGGTTTTTAATCCACAGCAGAATGAAAAGCTGCCACTCTACAAAGCTCTGAGACACATGTTGGGATAACGCACGGCGGGGCTTTCTGCTGTGTGAAGATAATGCTGGATAGCGCTGTTTCAAGGCTAAGCCGCTAACAACGGTTTGCGGATAGCCCCTCCCCCAGCTGCTTCACAAACACCACCATGCCAGAGCAGTGTGATTAAAAACCAGTCAGTGACTGCCCCGCGGGTGTTTCCACCTCCCTGTGTGACAGCCACACCGACAGGGTGCAAGATGTCAGAGACACTCCATCAGTTAGTGGTAATATGTGATCACGCCACACTGACCTCTGGGAAATTGAGTCTTTAATCACGACATCTCCAGACTCCAGGTAAATTAGCATTCCTTGGACGCCGTCTAATCTATCGGCTTCTCAGCTCGATCCATCCGGCGAAAGGACAACGTTTGACTTTCTGCCATGTAATGTCAATGCCATTCTGATTGATGAGAGCAGGTAATGCAGGCTGAGTGGTGTGTCGCCAAGGGTGGAGGAGGCAGAAAAGCAATGATTTTTATCATTTCTGTACATCTTCACTCAAAAGAGTGCTTTCATCGGATGCTATTCTGCTATCATGATCATCAGGGCAGAGTTTACCCATACGCAACACTGGGATTTTAGTGAAACGGGTAAAAAAAGCCTCGCCTCCTTAGGAGCTCTACATCTCAGATTGAGTTTGGAGTAAAAACGTCATTTGGAGTTTAAACTGGTCACAGGAAGTTAGGTTTTTTAGTGTCTTAACTGACATTTCCATATTTTTTATGGTCTTTATACAATCTTAGTTTATAACTGATAAGTTTTCAAGATTTTACCATAACCTAGAACGTGATGATGTCACAAACGAGCTTTCGCTCCATCAAAAATTGTCCAAACATAAATTGACAAGTTGAAAATACTTTCTGCATCAATTGATGGTTAAATGGAAATTTGTATTGCTAAACAATTCTTTAGAAATTAAACATTTGGGTACATTTTTTCTTGTAGAAACATCTGTAGATATGCGACAAAAAGTTACCCATGTACATTTGACTGAAGTTATAAAGAAAACCTTCAGACTCCACGGATCCGATGGACTGGTTGTTTTCTAGTTTCAAGGTCTGTAAAATAAAGGTTAGTCCATTTTCAGGATCAGGAATGGGAACGCTGCCCTTTATAATGTTTACCGTATTCGTTCAGCTATTTAAAATGTTGCTCAAAAGTAGGGCTGGGCTTTAATATATTGTTATACTTATTTTAGGCTATATCGCTCGCCCTACTCTTATTAAGTAAGGGTCAGTTGTGGTTAATTTTTGTCAGAAAATGAATTAAAAAACTAAAAAACAGGTTGAGCCTTTTTAGGGTTAATCACCATGCTTTGTGACTTGTACATGCTTCATGTTTTATTTTTTTATATTAATTAAATATGATTTTAAAAAGTGTTTTTAAAAGTACAAATGAAATAAGTAGAGATGTTAAAAAGTAAAATAAAAAATGTGAAAGACTGGAATATTTCAAAAAAAAAGAAAGAAAGAAAATATTTTATTTTCATATTTTTATATAGCGCCAAATCACAAGAGTCGTCTCCAGGCAGTTCACATGGTAAACATTCCAATATAGGTCAGTTCATTAAGCCAATCAGAAAAAAAATTCCTATACAAGGAACCCAGGAAATTGCAGCAATCCTTATATCAAGGAAGCATTTAGCGACAGTGGAGAGGAAAACTCCCTTTTAACTGGAAGAAACCTCCAGAGGATCCTGGCTCAGTATAAGCTGCCATCCACTACGACTCACTGGGGATCAAGAAGACAGTGCAGACAAACGCATACATACACATATTTCAGTAGCCATCAATAACATTCAAGGGTTGAATTGTTAAATGTTCAAGAATTTGAGCGGAGCCACGATTTAGACATCTAAACTTTCCGAAACTTTGCGAGCAAAGTTCCCATTATCACACAAACTTTACACTTCTTATACAATTTATACGTCAAAACGTTAGTAGTTTTGTCTTCTTTCTCTCGTGTGTGTCTCACTGCCATAGGACTTAAAGAGACAATGTGTAGTTTTTACCACTCATTTCTGGAAATATCCATCAAATTGTTAATGAAAATGAATTAAATGATTCCCAGTTTTAGAAAAATATTGGCAGCTTTGTAACACATACCCATAAAAATCAGGTCTGAAATACATGGGAGCAGGTCCACGTCTCTGGGCGACACCATATTAGATGTCATTTTTCCTTCTACGGGAGCCCATGAGGACAAAATGCATTTACTGATTTGTAAAAAATGGTTACAAAACTTTTGTCATTCTGAAATAAGAGGTGAATAAGAGGTGTGGCTCATCAATGGGTTAGAACTAATTTAGAAAAAAGGAAACAGTTTGTTCAGATAAAGGACCATAAATCAAAAGTATGTGAAATTAATTGTGGAGTGCCACAAGGGTCGGTCCTCGGACCAAAACTGTTCATTTTGTTTATTAACAACTTGGTAAATGTATCTAAGACACTCGGTACCATTCTATTTGCAGATGATACAACACTGTTTTACTCAGGATCAAATATTGAGGAGGTGGCTAAAGTGATAAATGATGAACTGATTAAAATAAAAAACTGGTTTGATATAAATAGATTGACACTGAATCTTAGTAAAAAAAATTATACTGTTTAATGATAAAAAGAACAGTGATGTGGCATTGGAAATAGATGGGATTGAATATCAAAGAGTAAAAGAAACCAAATTTCTTGGACTTCTCATTGATGAAGACTTGTCATGGAAATCCCGTATTAGTTACATAAAAGGTAAAATTGCCAAATCCTTAGGAGTATTACATAGAGTCAAGTTTTTACTGACTCATTCTGGTTTGTTTGGCATTGTACAATTCACTGATTGTTCCATACTTGACTTATTGTGTAGAAATCTGGGGAGCAACATACAAAAACTATACACAACCCTTATTTGTTTTACAGAAAAGAGCTCTGAGAATCATCAATTATAGTGGTTGTAGAGATCCATCAAACCTGTTGTTTATTAAATATAAATTACTGAAATTTCATGATTTAAAAGACTGGAAAATCTTACAAACCATGAATAAAGCCAATTTAGGTACTCTGCCAACAAACATTCAGGGGATATTAGAAAAGAGAACTAGTAATTACATGCTGAAAGAAACTGATGTGTTTACAAAACCTAGATTTAGAACTAAAATTAAGGAGTGGAATATATCTGTAAATGGTGTTAAATTATGGAATAACCTTAAAGGGAAATTTAAAAAACTCTGTCGTTTAATATATTAAAAAATGTACCAAACTGAGTGTACTAAATAATTATGAAAATGTAAATTAAATCAATGATCATGATCACACTGGAATTTAGAACAGGAAAAAGTTTAAAATGAATCTGTATGCGTGTCTGACAAATGGAAATTATGTATAAATGGATTATTCCTACAGGAAATATTCCTTTTCGTTCAAATTTGATTTTTGTTATGTGTTTCTTATTGTTCATATGTTTTATTTGTTTTTATTTTGAATGAAATAAACAAAAAAAAATGTTGTTTTACACAGTTACCTCTTCACTTGTTGCCAGTGATAAAAGGGAGTCTGATGTGCTCGTTATTTTTGCTGAAGTTTGCACTCCCCAGGGCTTTTTGGCCCTAAAGGGCATCCGTTGATATGGTCTTACTCCAACACAAAAATACCGCTTGCTTGCAATGATTTAGGAATCTACTGCCCCCTATCGCCAGGAAAAATACACACTGTCACTTTATGGGTTCTTTCAAATTCTCTGATTATCACATGAAGAACAGCAGATCCAGGTCACCAAAGTGACTGACAGGTTGTTCCCATGGTTACACAAGTGAGCCACTAGCAGCAGCTTTAACATTTCTTTTGGCCTAGATTATTATTACGAAGGTAAGCACTAAATTAAGATTAGGCTTTACTAGATAAAGTAAGCTGAAATTATGTGGACTAGGTTTCTATTTTTGTTTATTATCAAGACGACAAAAGATTTTTGTGATGAATTTTATCGTGAAAACATCAAGTCTGACTTCCTGTTCCTTTCCCTGTGGGCTATTCACACATGTTCAACAACACATTTATTTTCCTGTGACCTCACAGAAGACTAGTGAAGCCTCAGCACATTTTAATATTGTTGGAGTCCTGCCCGCAGTCTCGCGGGTCCCGTGAGAGGTCCAGACACAAAATACATAATTTAATATCGGCGTTGCAGCAGATTACACAGAAAACTAATCTGAGGGAAACAAATGTCATTTTGGTTTTGCAGCCATGTTTAATTCAGTTTGTCCTCATCACACTGGCCGTTTTGTGTTTCTCAAAGGTCACGCTTGTATTTTTAGAATGGATTTAATATTCTTAGCAAAGAGGGCACTTCAACAGATCTGCTGAGCAGATGAAAACCATTTAGTCTGATTGAGCTGAGACTCGTCTTGAGCTCTTGGCTGGAATATAACCTCCAGCCAGCTGCTCCCTCACACCAGACATCTCTCTTCTCTCCCTCCGACTTGCCTCAACATTTAAATGTTCACTGCTGTACAGCCAGCTATTGACCAGACCAAAATCATGGGTCTCTTCCATCTTATTTAGTGCCCCAGTGAGCAGACCAATTTGCTGGCCATTAGTGAGCTGTAATGGCTTTTAGACTAGAAAAGCTTTAAATCCTGCGGAGTTCTTCTGTTCAGCTGAAGGTAAGATCAGGATGAGAAGATAGTAAAAAACATAATTTGAGACGTACTAGTGTAAAAGTCCAAGCAGTAGCAACATTCCTGATTTTTAAACAGGATAACAACTGTAACAAGAAGCAGGGTCAACAGAAATGGGGAAGC